AAGCGAGCCGAGTATGGCAAGTCTAGATCTGTCAACATGTTTAACTACAAACATTTTGGCCTTTCATTATGAATAAGTCAGCTTTGGAAGGCAATTTGTACGCAGCCATCCAGCCGCCAGTAACAATGTGACTAAAAGATATTTCAATAAGGAAAACTGTCTCCAGTTCCCATTCGTCTTGGCCACGGATTCTTTATCAACAGCCAAAACTTATTACAAATTTTAATAGCATATGATATGTAGAAACAATCCTGAAATGAATAAAAGTAGTATAATTTCCACCTAAGAAATCAACATCTCCCTTGATAAATGGCAAAGGTCGTTCACTGTCAGGAATCTTTCGATTGCTTCTAGCACAAGAGATTTTCCCGATAATTTTCACGTTAAACGACCAACAGACTCGAATATCTTTTCTATATTTATATCCCAACACAAAGGAAAATTAGAAAGGCTCGCTTAAATATCGACTCGTAGGTGGGTTTTTGAAATTTTAAACTTATTTCACGCGATTGCAGCTTATCACTAGGCAACGAGAACAAAAGGAACAATGTTCACTCCCATAGCGTGACAGTCACGCAGTCCATTTTTCAACACCACTATATATCGTAGAACCCGCACAACAAATGTTGGTTCATTTTGAAATGATTGGTTCGCAGCTTTTCCTCTAATACTCGACTAATATACGATGATCATTTTATGAAAGGTTAAATCAACGTTGTACACTTAAAGAATTTCTCTCAGGAATCTGTAGCTCTTAAGAAACAAGAGACATCAATTTATAAAGCAATTCCCGGAAACGTAGCTTTTGCTAGATGTAATTAATGTGTCTCGCTTGCTTGCAAATTGGAAACATTTCAGATAAAATATGGCGAAAGCATATTTCAAGCCATCGAATATCATAATTAGGGGGCCGTGGTTATATTTTGATCATTTTCATTTTTAATTGATACTGCATCCTCCTCAAAATCCCTAGGCGACCTGTGCGTATCCAAATTTGATTAAGAAGTTTTTCTAATCTCGAAACTGCATTCACACTTTTCAATCATAAAACTTCTAAGTTTCTGCCCTATCTTTGGTTTTTCAGTGTAGAAGGCCGAATCACGTTACTAAACGGTTTGTTCTGTCCCTTCCGGCGGTATCATCTGTATCATCCGCGTATTTAGTCAACAAACTTGAATATTACAAATGCACGTCGCGTCTTTGCTCGGTACGTGCAAATGATAGAGCAAAATTCGTTCGTTTTATGTTCAGGGCCGTGGCCAGACTTCACAACAAGACTAGGCAAGTTTCGGGTCTGGAATGTGCCCCCAGAAAATTTTGAAATCTAGAGGCTCAGAAATGCTCTTTCAAGCATTTTCCATGGCGTTTTTCTTCAGAAAAGTCAATCTTGGGCAAATGAAGGAGTTCACTTTTTTTTATTGCTGAGCGATGCTGGTGCCAAAAAAAGGCCAAAATCAAGACGAGGCATTTGCCTCGTCTTGCCTAATGCTAGATACGGCACAATGTAAACATTGTGAGAGCAATACGTCGATTGGAGAAGTTCTTGGAAAGCCGAACTGTCCACGTCTAGACACGAGGGTGGCTTCTCCTGGCGTTTTTCTTTATATTCTATATCGTAAGTGGACTTAATTTCTTTCCAGACGGCAAGATTTCTACGAAATTGCCCCGAGATCTCTGGCGTGACGTTACGTATACGTTCCTTTCCTAAGAGATATCAAGGGTCGCCTTAAAACGTTGAATAGTTTTAAGAAATCAAGCCATTTATATAGAAACATAACACCAATTCAAAAAACTGCAAAGAGAAATGATCTGCTCGAAAAAAACTTCGACACTATTCTAATATTTTTGGCTTTTGTAGGATAGGATGGGAACTAATGAACCGAAAGTTACGTTTGTCGTTGAACAAGAGTAACGCCAAATCAAAACAGCCCAGTTTCAAGTGCTGCTTGCTTGCGTAAGCACCAGTTATCATCAATAGAATAGACTTCCAGGAATCTGTGGCCTCCCAGATATGAAGTAATATGAATTGGAAGGACTAAACCACGCTATACACATTTACACCAATTTTGACTTGTTGGTTTACGAAATCGAAAAGAAGAAATAGAAAGAAAACAAACATGAAAGAGAGCAGAGGTGCTTTTCAAGCAATCACTCAGATTCCACCTCGAAACAAATTTATTACTTTTGAATATAAAACTAGACTATTAGAAATAGAACGCTCGATTATTCACAACTTCCAGACCAGCAAAAACAGCAAATCCAAGGTTCAATTTGCCATTGAGATTATGAGGAATGGCATGGAGTCATCGAAAGTTGAATATTAAGGGCGCCGGCATAACTTCCAAAATTGATTGAGAACTAGTCACAAGACATTTAAAAGATTATGTAGCGACTTAATAACAATAGAAGGTTCTTTGGGCAATGTTTACGAGTTTGATGGAAACTACTGAGCCTTTAGGTATCAGTGTCATGATATAGTACTAGATCATTCGAGTTCGTCCTTCTTGTCTCCGAACCTTAGACACCAAGAAAGTACGGTTGGTTCCTCCTCTTACTTTCCTAGACCTGTGTCATTTCAGAAGTATAGCCACCTTTTTATTTAATAAATATATTTTTTTGTTTTTCCTAACCTTTGGTAGAGCTTAGCAGATAAAAGTTGTAAAATAGTAAATAATTACATTATTTCTTTTACAAGTTTAAAGCAGCAGTGTACTAACCGAACTTTTCCCAAACCCAGACTTGCTGGTTTCTATCTATTGCAGCACTATTGCAAACGAAGCTTGACTGTGGACCAAAAAATCGACCGCAGTTATATTCATTTGTGAGGAAAGCAGACAACAATACTTTTATTACCACTCCATCTCGCAAACATTTAGACTAGCTGCTGTCTACACAGAATTAATGCGCCATCTTGCTGGTCATCGACAATAATTTAAATACACAAACAGTCACACCATTTGGTATTATGAGTACAGTTTTGCATTATGTTCATGTATCTTTTAGCACCACTGTGAAACAGCCATTTGCGAAAATTCATCAGTGTTCAAGATTTTTGGAAGGGGTAGCAAACTGATGAGAAACATGTAAGAAATATCACTGCTGTCCCATTTCTTCGGCCTCTGCCTTCCATCTAACTGACACTCAAACCACCGTCAAATGAAGTCGATCTTGAGCTTTCATGCTCGACCTTTAAACGAACTGATATAAGCATTGTGAAGAATAAGATACCTATCCCTGAATAGCTTTATTCAAGTGATACCTGAGGAAGTTTTCTTTGCTGAGTGCAGAAACGAGTCGAGTGAAAAGTCTGTCAACCTGTTTAACAATACTTACAATATTGCCTTTGTCTATTACTTGCTGAAAACAGTTTTGGACATGTACAGTTATTTCTATCCAGCCACTGCTAATATCGCGAATAAATGCAATCTGAACAAGGATAGTTGTTTCAATGATACTTCCTGTGAACTTATTCTGCGAAATTCCATAAATCAATTCCACGAATTCTGAACACCACTTTATATAATCACGTTCTGCTGTTCCTTTCGACAATTTCTTTATTTCTCTTTTAAGAACTACTATGCTTTTCAATTGTATGAGATGAAAATAAATGTAGTACTAAAATGAACAAGATAACGTAATTTTCTTCTCTTTCAAAAATCATATATTCAGATGGCAAATGGCAAAGAATGTCCACAACATTGCTTTGAGCCCAGATGCATATGGGAAGTCAACGTGTCATTGATCAATTATCCTGATAGCTAAAGACGAAATAAAAGAACTAGTTTTCCTTTAACTGGGACACAATATCAATGAAGAAACATAATAAAAGAATCTTTCTAGACGAAAAATAACAGCCACCTAGTCTTTTCTCGGCAAGCGTTTGCTGTACCACGAACGCCGCGATAGAGGCGTAGTGTTACATGGGGTTTTAAGCGAAAAATTTCGATTATCCTTGTCATTTGTGGTCTTTCATTTTATGAAAAATTGCATTTTAGAGTAACCAGTACATAATTCTGTCGCTTTATGGTTGAAAATTTCAAAAGAGAGTCAAACAAAAGCGATCAAAGCTGGTACAATTGCTGGGCAAATGTAGATACTGTGCATCCGTATCTGAAGTAACCGTTTAGGGTACGTGGTTCATCTTGCAATTATTGCATCGCTCGCTGTATTTTCTTTGCATTCGACTTAAGTTTTCAATGACCTTCTCTATGAAGGTGAAATCAACTTTGTACGCTTGGAAAAAATTTTTTTCCCAGGGAACTGAAGTTCTTTAGAATTAAAGACCTTCTCGAGTTATTCTCGGAAACTTTGTTTTGCTGAGCGCTATTGATGTATCTCGTTTGCTTGCAAAGAAGGCAAACTATGAGAAAAGCATATTCCAAGCCATCGAAGAACGTGCTCAGAGTGCGGTGGTTTTACTGAAATCATAATCACTTTTTATTCAAAACCAAAACTGCAGCAGTTGATTCGGTACGATCCATCAGTTTCCTCCCCAAAACTATGGTCACTGTGATGACCGGTGCTTATCTAAATTCCCAGAATCTGTCTGACCTCAGAAATGCATCGAACTCAGTATTCAGAGACGCTTTTAGATCACAAAACTTCGAAATAACTGCCCTGTTTTTTTTCCTTTCCTCAATACGTGGTACGTACTTTTTGTGTGTCAACTTGAGGCATGAATTAGATAAAATTTCACGTTACTTTTATGATTTTACTATTATGATTTCTTTTTTTTACAGTGATCACCTTTGCATCACATGTCTTGAATTAGTAGACGACCGTTAAATATTGCAAATCATTTATCCTCACATCTTTGTGCTATAAAAGTTGTTCTGAAGGCAGAACAACACTCATTCCATCTCCATTCTTATGGAACCTCTTTGGACATAGAACTGAATGCACACGGACGAAATTAAACTGAATTATTTCGTTGCTATGGGAAGCCTCTAAGTTCCTTTGCGCGATGCAACTAGTGTAAACAGAGAATGTAAGATACTTACTTGAATCATCCTCACTGTTTTATGAGCTCACAAGAGAAAAAAAAATCATCGCAGCTCAATGATTACTCTTTCTGTGTGATTTCCTGCGAAACTCCTCGCTCCCGAGTCTAATCATAATATCATTGCTTGCACGTGAAAGATGTACACTTTTCAAGCTCAAGTGACAGTGACGTCACGGTAATTCCGAGAAAGCCACAGTTGTTGAGTCTAGAGAACGGTTTTGTAAATTTAAAAATTGTCGAAAGAAATAACGCTATTGACAAAAGCAAAAACAAAGTGGTCGTGCTTCGTATATTTCTTCCTTGAGCGTGTTTATTTGCATCGTTTTTTCTGTTTCTCGTCATTTTTGTTCTTTCCCATGCAGAGCTGACTCTAATTTAAATATAATCTACTGGTCAATATTTTGAAACTAGAGACAGGAAACAGTGCATTGCACCGTAAGGTCGCACGCCAGTATGACGATGTAACGTATCTCGTTCTATTTGTCTTGCAGTACGTAGAGACAAATGTTGCCGAAAACATACAGTTTTGAAAAGAAATACACAAGCTCCCCCTCTTTCTCGGTAAAGTGGTTTTTAGGCAAATCATCTTTTCTCAGAAATCCTTCCTATCATACTGCGTTCAAGTTACATCTACGAATTTGACAAGCCTTAAGTTTTCTAGCTAACAGGTAACATAACATTGATCGGAGCATTTTAACTTGCAAACCTTCCACACTGGGTCGGGTTATGGTTAAATGTTGTCTGTGAGTGAGGTTATCTTGCCAACATTATGACGCGCGGAAAACATGTGCTGAAAAAAGTTCGTAGCTCTTATATTAATTAAAGAGCGTGAGCGAAAGGAAAAATTCTGAGTTATTACCAGATCTACACCATTCACCATGTTTATAAAGTACTTTATGTGACCAATACATGATTTTAAGGGGTACTGTAGTTAGGTACTGCATAAGGTACTCCATGGAGTAGGGCTCCGCGTTTTGCCATCTCCCTCTTGCAAACAACTTATCGACGGTGCACTTTTCATGTATTACTTTTCGCAGTATTAATTAGTCTTACGTTGACCTAAAACTATCTATTTATCGAGTTTGATTTCTCTTCTCTTCACTAAAGTTTGTCTTGCTTTATTTTAAGCTTCAAACCGTAAGTCGAAAGACCAGAATCAATTATTTTCCTTAAAGTATTTATACTGAATCATTCACTGAAATCACGATTAACCAAATGATTGCAAAAATGAAACTTTGATTGCAAAACCAATTCTCCTGGTCAATACCAAAGTAAATGTTTATGGAGGAGGGTGTGGAGAATATGGATACTGATGCTAGAGAGTAGAGGGTTGCTATATATGGAAAATGTTTAGAGGAGAGTGTGGAGAATATGGATAGTGATGCTAGAGACTAGAAGGTTGTTATATATGGAAAATGTTTAGAGGAGAGTGTGGAGAATATGGATACTGATGTTAGAGAGTAGAAGGTCGCCATATATGAAAAATGTTTAGAGGAGAGTGTGGAGAATATGGATACTGATGCTAGAGAGTAGAAGGTTGCTATATATGGAAAATGTTTAGAGGAGAGTATGGAGAATATGGATACTGATGGTAGAGAGTAGAAGGTCGCTATATATGGAAAATGTTTAGAGGAGAGTGTGGAGAATATGGATACTGATGCTAGAGAGTAGAAGGTTGCTATATATGGAAAATGTTTAGAGGAGAGTGTGGAGAATATGGATACTGATGCTAGAGAGTAGAAGGTTGCT